GTGCTCCTGGAGAGAGTGGCCATACCTGGGAATTGTCTGGTTTTGGGGGAAGCATTTCTGGCAGTACTTGGTGGTTATCCACAGCACCCAGCAGGAACTGGGCACATCCTGTCTGCCTTTTGTTTCAAAATTGTGCCTGAAAATGCTTCCTACAGAAGTGACCTTGGATTTTGCAGCAGGCGATTCACAGGTTTAGCTCACATTAACTACTCTGCATGGTGCCATTCCACGTGGGAGGTGCTGTCCTTGTAAGCTGGAGCTGCCACAAGATCATGGTCCAAGTAGCAGCCCAAATTTAGCTGTAGGTATTGCTGATGGGACTTTTAAAACTTACCCTGTTTGGGGCTTGATTGAAACTTCTTTTTCAGCTTGGTGGTGGGAAGTTACACCTAAGCTCTTGCTGCTCTTTGCACTCAGAATGTATTTATGGCTTATTTTGAGGGTGGGAGCAGTGGACTGGTGCCCAGTGAGCTGAAGTGTGTGGAACATTGAGACAAATGAACCAGAAGGCTTTCAATACATTCATCATGACATCAAACCACTTTTTAAAAACATGGAATATGATCAGAGTACAGTTTTTCTGTATCTTGGAGTTGCCAAGAGTCCTGGGGCCTTAGTGTGAGGTTGGTACCATTATAGCTTAGTTAGAATTTTGTGGGAGGCTGTGATGAGTTTGTTTGTGTTGATGTAAAGGTGTTCATCCTGTTGTGCATAATGATGGAATCTTGCTGAAGGGGCTTAATTAGCGATGAAATTCATAATTGTTCTCATCCTGAAACTCCCTTGTTAAAATGCTACTAACTGGGCAGCTCTTATTAGGTTTTTTACTGCTTGTTTCAAGTCTTCAGCCCAGTAGAATCTCTTAACTCCACCTAATACACAAAGCCTTGCTGGCCACACCAGATTTTGGGAAGGAAAATTGCCACTGCCTGTGCCTGTTGATGTAGGCTTGGATCAGCCTGGTCTGGGAGGTGACCCTGCCCATGGCAGGGGTGAAATGAGATGGGCTCTACAGTCCCTTCTAACTCAAATAATTCCCAGTTTGTACATTGCTGGCAGCGCTCTGGTGCTGATCCAGACCCTTTAAGCATAGGTATATGGGCAGGACAGTGTGTCTGAGATGGGGAGGTTTTATTCCAACTCAACTCCATGCCGTTCCTGAGGCTGCTCTTCCCTGACCCCTGGGAGGAAAGTGTTACTCTCCTTGGCAGTGCTTTGCACATCTGCTGGGATCCACAGGGCGGTGGAACAGCATTCACACCCAGCAGGCTTGAATAAAAATCCTGGAAAGGTCTAGTAGCCTTTAGATGGGGTTGGAGGTTTCCTGGCAACATCTGCCACAGTTTGAAATGCTGCTCAGAACATTCACCTACAGGAACCTCACACTGTTCCCTGTTCCTCATATGAGGAGTGTAATTTCTGTAGCCATCAATGAATTCTCTCTCCCTTGTGTGTAATCTGTTCCTCTGCTTTCCAGATGCTGAAAGTTTTAATACACTACAAAAGAACAGCCTGTGCCAGGTGCAGTTTTGGTTTTGAGGCACGTTCTGTGCTCAAAGCAAGGCTTAATCAAATGCATTGATCCTTGTATTGCTGTGTAAAGATTCAGTTCAATCTTTTTCTTTTGTAAAAAATGCAATTAGAATGTTCTTTAATAAGTGGTTACTGTATACTCTGAGTCTCCTACAATAACATCAGTTCTTGTGGCTTGTGAGAAGATGCATTTCAGATGGAGTCTGATTATTCAGTGGATGTTTGACATGTTGTTAGAAACCTTGGCTTTTCCCCAGTTCTTTTTATTCTGATGGAAGTGACAGCTCCAAGGAGGTGAAATCTGAGTGGGATTCTTATCACAGGGGTGGCTCTGTGAACTATTTAGAGCCCTGTCCACTTGTGGGTTCTTGCAGAAAGGTTTCATTTCTGCTTTTGGCTGGTTTTGTACCACATTTTGCACTCCCAAACATGAATACTAGACAAATAGTTTTAAAACTGGTAAAACTACTTGCTGTGTAATTTTACAGGATATTGACATAACTCACTGTCAACATAAAGTATCTGCTCAGCTAGGAATTGTTGCAGGGGTAGTTGTGTATCTCAGTCCATATGATCACTTTGATGGTTCTAAGCAGTGTTTAATTTGGAAAATTATTACTTTAATAAGCAAGAGGAAAGCAGGTCCTAAAGCTGCCTTTGGAAGTAGCTTTACCTTGTGCTGTTCCACTTCCAAGAACAGTTTTAGGTGTAAACAACGAATCAAATGCCACAGGGCTTTCATGTTGTTTATTATGGCTCTTGGAGGGAATAACAAGAATTGAGAATTTCCTGCTGGTGTGAGCAAAAGATCTTTGGAATGAGGAAAAGCCGCTGAAGGAGCTCTGGTGCTGCTGGGTATTTGAGGTCTTGCTGTCACCTCAGTGTACAGGAGACCTGGGAATGGGAACCTCTAGCTTTCCCAGTCTGAAGGGCTTTTCCATTGTGTGCTTTTCCCAGTGTTTCCTTTGAAAGTCTGTTATTCCTGTAAATGGTTCCCAATTTTTAGGAGCTGATACCTACCACCAAGGATGGTTTGTTGGAAAATTGCTAACCAGGTAAGCGACTGGAAGCCAAGATAGTTGGTTTGTTATTCTCCTGCATGGGGTTTCTATAGTGGAGACAAAGATAAATCATTTTGGTAGGGTGAGTGGAGCTGTTTTCTGAAATATCCATGTTTTGGATATGGACAGACAGGCAGTGATGGCAGCACTTAGTTAATCTCAAACAAAAATCATTCAGGATTTTAATAGTCACTTTAGTTTGCAGTCTCCTGTAAATCTCAAGTACTGTTTTTTTTTGTTTTTCTTTACATTTGGGTTTTGGTTCAAGGTTTGTTATGATGGTACCTCTTCCTCCTGGCCTCTGCTTGCAATGAAATTACAATAATTCCTCCTGGTAGGAAAGTAATTTCTGCTTCTCTTATCTATAACATTCTCAAAAAGGATGTGTTTCACTGTATTCCTACTGAGAATGAAATTCATGGGGTCAGGAAGAAGACAAACTTGTACTTCAGTAGGAGTGTAATATTGTAATATTTAATTCTACTTAAAATGAAATACTGGAAACCATCCAGGGCTGAGAGGAGAAATCTTGGAGAACATTGCTTGACATTTATCCCATCAGTGATGCAACTCAGTTATCTAAATGGAATCTGTGCTGTTCCAAGTACTACAGCAAAAAAGATATTCTGTGTATTCTGTGTGATTCTGTGTATTGTGGGCTGGTTTTTTTTTCCCCCTTTAAGGTCTACCTTGAAATAAATAATGCAAGATACAGCCAGAAGCCTTTTCACCTTTCTCCTTGTCTCAGCAGTGCCAGTATCATTCCCTTTGTCTGGGTCAAAAGGGAAAGAAACTATTGCAGAGCCCAGCCCGTGCTTCCCGTGCCAGCAGAAACATTAAGTATCGATCCCCAATCCTGCCTTTTAAAGAATGCTTTGTCTCAAACTACAGGCAGTAGGTTCTTTCAGTGCTGTGTTCATTCAGCCCTGCTCATCAATTACTCATTCCCTGAGCAAAATTGACCAGCTCTGAACAACTCTTTGGCATTTACTAGAGTGAATGTTACTCTTGAAAATGCAAATTTAGCAGCTGCAAAATTTCCCAGCTTTTCTGGGAATCCTGAAAATAAAGAAGGGGTGGTGGGCCTGCTTTGCCTGTTTGCTGCTCTGGAATTGGATGTGATCTGCTGGAGATTACCTGCGCTCACTGAAAATACTTCCATGGATTCTAGTGAGAGATGTGTTGCAAGAAGGGTGGTTTGGGGTGGCTGGTGCCACTTCCAGTGACATCAGAATGCTTTGAGCACTTGGAGTCATTTTCCCTATTGGATGAGTTTGTTATTCCAGCCCAGAGGAAAGGCAGGAAATTAAGACATTAATGAGGCAGTTGTCTTTTGTGTTTGAGAACTTGGAAGCACAAGTAATTACATGAACATCTTTCCCAGTGTAAGGTGTGTGCTCTGCCAGATGGAATTTGCTGAAAGCTGAGTGCGGGAAGGTGGCACTTCAACACTGGATTCATTAATTTTTTTCGTTACTCCAGGGGGTGCAGGGCTGAGCTCAGCTCCATTGGACTTCTCTATTTAGAAAACTGCTTTGAAGTTGTTGTGTCTGTTAAACAACTGTGTTTGTACCTATTCTTTAGTTCCTAAAGAACTCCCTTGTCTTTGAGGAGGCAGATTTGGGAATGAGGGAGGAAAGGAACTGGGCAAATGATTCTATGTTTACTTCTGGATTTTTATTTGGTCATGAAATTTGAATGTTATGTTCCCATTTCTCCTTGGAGATGAAATTCTTTTCAGTGTGGATGGTCCTGAATTAAATTTCTTTACTTAAAAAAATGCTGGGGAAAGAAGAGAGGCTTTGCTCCATGTTTGATTGATGAAATTATCTCACCTTAAATCTGCCCCTCTGTAACTTACTACATCTTATCCCTTCTTTTTGCATATTTCTAAAATTCAGAAAAGCATGAGGTTTTAAAATTACCTTTATTTGCCAACCTGGGCCCTTTCTGAGTGTCTGATAAAGCTGAGTGTTGGATTCCAGACCTATTGGCCTGTGACCTTTTCAGCTAAAGTGTGAAGAAGAGATGAAGACAAAAATTAAAATGTATAAAATAATCTGATTCTAGAATAGCATGGGTGTTGCTTTCCACTTGTAAGGATGGAAAATAAATCTCTGCATATTTGAGGAAGATCATTATTGAGGGTTCAGAGGGTGTCACGTGATTTAATATTGCAATTATTGACTTTAGCTGTTTAACTGGGTTTTAACTTCTAATAAATTTCCTCCAAACCTAGGTAGACATGTTTCTTTTCTAAGTGTCTTATTAGCAGAAAAAGTACAAAAGCCCTAGAGACACACTCACTGAAGTACAGAGGGAGAGAATGCTAGAGAAGGTACATGGCTTTTGAATTATAGATGCTGGAAATAATTGTGTCCTAAGTATTTGTGCATTACTTTACAGGTATGAAGGTGACAGCTCAAGAAGCCTCAGGTATGTGTACATCATCTTGATGTTCTTCTTTAAGAAAATATTTTAAAAGCATTAAATAGAAATAGATTTATTTTTTTTAGGTGTGGGCATTACTGGTTGTGCTTAGCATGCCATTGATATTTTGACTAAAAGCTCTTCTCTCTTGGATAAGTTACTGAATGATTCTATCTCCAGTGTGGTTTGAGAGTGAGGGATTAGTTTGGGTCATTACAAAAGATTTATGGTTAGTTCCTGGTGCTCCCAATCAAAGTTCCTGCTCGATAGCCCTGTGCTCTGGGGAAGCTGTCTGCCAGCTGCCTGCTGGTTTTGGGGCAGCATCTGTGTTGGGGGGGAAGTCCATGGATTTGTTCTGGCTTTCTTAGCAGTCTCCTCTTTTTCACCTGTCTTGAGCCTTCATTGGCTCATTATTACACTGCTCTATATACACTTGGAGGGTTCAGATAATGTGCAGAATTTCATGTAATTATCTGGTACTTTACTTCCAGCTTACTCACTGGGTGTTTTATACTCAGGGGTGTATACCTCTCTGCAAACGTGGCTGAGTCGAGCTTGTAGAGCTTGTAAAAGTGCTCTCAACAGGACTGAGATGTGAAAATTCCATCCTTGAATCTGAAAGTGGTCCATATTCATTAGAGCATTGCCATTAAGCAGATGCCTTGATTGAGGACTGCCTTCAGCAGTGTGACTATTGATCAGTGATAAGGTTCATAATATTGACTGTGGCTGCATCATAATACCCTGCAGTAGGTTTTGGGGACTGTCAGGATGTTGCATCTTAAGACATTGTGTTTATTGTAAAACCCCAAAGCAAAGACAGGACCTTCCCTTGCAGAATTAAAATCTAGTTCATACCCACAGGTGTGCAGACTATCCCCAAGAACAGTATTAGAAAACCAGGAGTCTGTAGGAAAGGGTTAAAGATCCTCTGAAATTTTGTCTTAAGACAGAATTCAAGATCACTGGTGTGGACCCAAGCTCAAGGCTGTGCAGGGCAAGTTGGGAATCTATCTAATGCACAGCAACTGATCTGGATCAAATCCCAAGGCTGCAGTAGGATGCCTGTGGGTATCACTACATTCATTCCTTGGGTTTTTAGGTCCCAGCAGAGTTGCCAGCATGCTGGCAAGCTGTGGAAGGACTACTGCTGGTCAGCTGTTGCAAACTGAAAGTAGTGCCCCTGGCATGTGGATTTCCAGCAGCATTTCAACCTCAGTGATCACTCTTGTTTGTCCCTGAGCCTCCAGCAGGATTTACCTGCTCTGATGGATGAGTGTGTGTGGCATCACTGGATACATCTGGTGGGAGTGGAGCTCCTCTCTTGCAGAGCATGTTTGGGGGTTTATGCAATGCACAGGCACAGCTGAAAGCCACTGACTTCAGCTCTGGTTTGGTGCTGCTTGAAAACCAAACTCCAGCCCTGGCTCCTGCCAGTTGCCTTTGTGCACTCGGATGTTTCAGTCAGGGTGTGTTGGACTGACAGGGTAAGGCACTGGTGCAATGTGTCTTGCCAGAGCCATTCCCACCTCAGAGGAAGGTGGTTCTGTTCGTGTGTGGTGCCCTTTTGGGACCTGTCAGTGCCACATGGGACACATTCCAGCTGGCTGGGTTGTGGTGGTGGGAATAAGCGCCCTCTTTTCCTACAGAGACCTGTGGGCAGCCAGGCTGAGCCCTGGGGTGCTGATACCATCTTGATTTGAGGCTGTTCAGGGAATTAATTCTGTTATTCAGTATGAGCTTAAGGCGCTCCAAGACAGCTCCAGACTTCTCTGACAGCCTTATTTTAATCAGACTGATGTAGGCAATCAAGCAGGAGGCAGAGCCGAACTCCTGAAATGCTTTTTTAGTGTAAATTCTCTATCCTCCCTCTTAAACTGCATTTTCCCTGAGGTGAAATGTTACTGAGGATTCTGTGATACTGTTCTTTTGTGTTTCTGCCTGCACAACATCCTCATCAGCGCTGGTCTTGTCTTGGACAAAAGCTCCCTAAGCTCTATTGATGTTTAGGCAGTATCTTTATGTTGTGGTTAATTTGCCTTCCTACTGTTTTCCTTTCTTTCTGGCAAATGAAGATGAATTGTAATTATCTCAAATGAAATGATCAGGGCAGTCTGGGGAATAGTGCTTAATCCCTGAAGAGGTCATCATTTCTGCTCACAGAGATATCAGAAAAATAGCAGTAAATCCAAATGCTGGACAGCCAAATGGGTTCCATGAAAGCAACGGGTGCAAGGAGCAGCAAGCAGGTGAGAAAGCAGGCATAAAATGTCCTGTCTGTTTTAACTGGACAGACACATCAGGTGAAGTCAGAAGGGCTGTGTTTGTGGTCAGTAAATGAAAGTATTGGTTAGGACTGATGGAGTCTCAGCCATTGACACTGAAAAAGATCAAATAAACTGAGATGCAGCCAGAGATGTTGGTCTCTCCCAGCTGGGTGAGTGTAATCAGACTCTTAACCCAGAGATTGCTTAGGAATAGCTGGTGTTTTTCATGCAGGAATGGAATATCCAATACAAGTGATGCCCTGGAATTTACACTGTTGCTCAGTTGCAAAGGATATTGCCCTGGTGGATTTGTTTGCAGTGGCTTTACTGCCACTTGTAACGAGGAAATGGCCTCCACAAGATGTTTTATAATGCTGTGAAATGCAAAAAGCACACAATATGTGCAGAGACAAGGTTGACACCAAAGCAATATGATTCTGAGTAATACATTAAAACAACAAAAAAACAGATTGACTTTATTTCTTTAATTTGGCTTTCTCATTGTGACAAAAAGCCATGAATTATCCTGTTGTACCAGCCCTTCAAATTCTTTCTGCTTATAATGCAGTTGTTCTGTAATAAACTCACTTTGGTTTCCCTTTGGTGAATGCCATGTAGTTTCCAAGCTGAGGTATTTGTTAAATCTATTAAAAATGGGTAGATTGCTTTGAACACTGCATTCTGAGGTGTAATGTACATGTACAGTGTGGAGCTGTCAGTGTGATGGGCTGCTTTAATTAGCTGTCTTTGTTCACATGTTTCCAGGAGAAAATGCAATTTGTTTTACAAGGCATTTTGATAGTTAGTGGTGTGACTTGAGTCAAGATGAAGATATCTGTGTGCACTGTGTCCTGTCAAAGTTTGCAGAGATTGTCTCAGGGTTTAGTAGCAGATGTTACTTTTCCCTCTGCACCAGCCTTGTGTGATTAAAAATCACCAGAGTGGAGGATTTGAGCAGTGTGAGATGCACAGGGGGTCAGTGAGCAGCTCTGCTAAGCAGACCTCTGAAACCTTCCCAGAAACAACACCTTTAGCATTTTTCTTTCCAGTTGCTCCTTCCTAATTGTGTGCTTTTAAAGGAGCTTTAACATGGTACAAAATGAAGGAAGCTGTAACAAAACTGCATAAAAGGAGAGGCTTTCATGGCTCCTGAGCTGAGGGTGTCAAGGCTGTTTCCAAAAATATGTGGTGTACTAGGAAGAGCTGTGAAATAGGCCCAGAAAGAGTGAAAAGACTGAAGACTAATTTGAAAATAAGAAGAAATAAAAAAAAGGCCAGCTGAAGTACTAATTATGGGGGAAACATCAGGTAAAAGTTACTTGGCTGAACTGAAAGAAAATAGAGGATGTGTGGAACTGTGTCTATTGAGGATCACACAGAAAGGCTGATTCCATGTAAAGGTGCACGTTAGATTAAGAGGAAAAGTAATTGTCTAATTTACTTTAGAGCAGGAGAGAATTGTGGAAAACCAGCCTCATTCTGTGATGAGTGGAGTGGGAGGATTGCCTGTGAAACAGACCCTGACAAGCAGCAGAGATAATCCAGCAGGAAGCAAAGTTTTAGGAACTTTTTGTTTTGTTTTACTCTGGGAAAATCTGCTTGAACTTTGTGACTCAGCCTCCTCTCTGAGAACCTGCAAAATACAATTATGTCAGAGAGACTTGTAAAACTAATTTTCAAGTTGGAATATATTTCTGTGCCATCTAAATGACTCAGTGTCTATATGTAAAAATGGCCTTTTCTGGCTGGTTTTAATCATTCCGTAATGACTGCTACGGTTTTATTACCAGTCCTTAAAATTTGCAAAATCATCACTTGTTAGTAATTTTGAAACCCTCCAACTTTTCCTCCAGTAGATTTTTGCATAAATGTTAGGCTGACCCTCTCCAGTGGAGTGGAATCTGATGAGTCTCCTGATGTTAGTTTAAATTAATTTTATTGCTGCTAACAGAAATAAAACATATGGAAACAGCTTCTGGTAGCTGAGATGGCTGTGGAGCTTCCACTGGCTTTCAAATGATGAAGATTTAAACTGAATTTCAGAATGACAGAACAGTAATACATTCATCAAATTGTTAGAACTACTTCTATGTCATCTTTAACAGTGATGATACATTTGTGATGTTAAAAAATCCTTTTTTTCCCACAAAATTGTGTGAAACATAGAGCCAACCAGATTTCTTTATTTCAGTCCAAATGTCTTGCCTGTGGAACTTAAAGTGCATGTGCTGGTGAGCAGGAGAGATGTTTTTGTGGTTTAATGGTGTTCAAAAGGTGCCCATAATTCTGTGCTTCACGTGGATTTTTTTTTTTTTTCTGGATTTCTTACTGAGAATCTTCAGGTCCATCATGACGTTTCATGGCTCTGGCTTCAGGTGCTACAAATGATTCTGTCACAACCACAATGCCACCTATGTTTTGTACAAAAATGTCCTGCATGGACTCAATCTATTTTACCCCCTTAATACCACTCCCTTAGACTCAATTGTCAAGGAAGTCCAAGAGCATTGTGAATGGGTGAATTGAAGGGAAAAAGTGACGGGGTTTTTTTTGGCAAGAATTGTGTAAACACTTGTAGGTGTCTGTCTGCAAGCAGATGAAGTTTTTGCATCAAGGCAGTGCATTATATTAATAGTTTGACTTCTGAATTGCTGCAATTCTGATTTTTCTACTGAAAAATAGAATCAAATCTTGCTAAATCTTGGATGCCATCCAGATGGCGAAAGCAGCATATGCAAG